ACATGGTCTTCGGACTTCAAATGAGTTTTGCTCGGGTCGGATCTACCGTGAATTTCAACATGATGGTGCCATTGTACGACTACATCCATCAGTATTACAAGGGTTACCAATGCACTGGCATCGTGCTCATGATCGGTATGTTCCGTTTTATCGAAGCTCTCGTATGTGTTTTTTCCGACAAGTTTGCCTTTCAAGAGCCAAATTGGTGGAAGTCGTTGTGTAATGTGTATTATGAAGAGAAGCATGATGAAATATATTTCTTAACCTTATTTGTATTCAACTTCTTTTTAAAGCCGCCGTATTTTGCCTGCTGTCCTTCATTTGTGCCTCGGCTCTTGGCTGGTTGGATTATCGGTGAGTTATCTTACGTTGCTGTTGAGTACAGTACAGTATTATAAAAATATTTACCGTATTTGCACTTATTTTTTAGTCGAGCGAAGTTGACGGGGAAGGCGGAAGCTCTTTGGCCGCTTCAGTAAGTTGAGGCTCTGTATAAGCTAAAACCGCGAAGCAAGACCGAGCGCTGTCGGTAAACGCAAAGGATGATGCAGCGGTAGAAGGGTGACTAACCCGAGCCCGTCTATAAGATCCAACGAAAATATGGCTTGAGTTCCAGTGCTGCCAATGCCGTTAATGGGATCGTGTACATCATAGCTGCCTTCGCCTCGCCGCTTTTTGGAATTATCATGGATAAGACCGGAAGGAATGTTCTTTGGTGTTTCATTGCGATCGTGTGTACGTTGGGGAGCTTTGCGGGCTTAACATTCACGTTTGTGAATCCATACATTCCTATGGTAAGATTTCGAATGTTTCTTTGAGAAATGTGAAAATTCCCGCGCTCCACGCGCACCTGCTTCAAAAAATAAATAAATTGAGCAACAAAAAAAAGGGATGCACGTCATAGTCGGATAAAAATTTTCGAACATAATTTTTGGAAACTTTTCGCCTTAATTGAAATTTTTCAGACGTGCCCATTTTTATGAAGCTGTAGACCAGCCGGAAATATAAATAACAAGAAAAGAATTTTGCGTGTAAAATTCGCGCTTTTATTTTTATGTCCTCGCCAATTTTTCAAGGTTTCCGTGGGACTGAGCTATTCGCTGCTTGCAAGTGCCTTATGGCCGATGGTGGCGCTGTTACTCCCGGAACATCAACTCGGAACAGCTTACGGAATGTGAGTGATTGAATGAGTTATAAATAAAAAAGTAAGTACTTCAAATAAGACGTTTAGAACTTATCTTACGTCCGACGAGTCTTAGACCCTGAGCGACACTATTGCTACAATCGACCTACCTAGCACCTGTGCTTCCCTATAAAGCAGTTGCTGACATTTTTCATTCTTTGTTTATCCGGTAAGAGATTTGACGATTTTTCGCGTGAATGTGGGAAAGTTTGTATTTTTTTCTGTGTGCTTTCAGTGAGTCTCATGGCAATTATCGTTCTCTGGGTGCTCGACTATACGCAGAATGGCTTGCTTAACTTGTCCATTGAAGCTCGTGAGGCGAGGCGGATTGAATCAATGTAAGTGATGGATTACTTTTCGAATGTCGCCTTGATACAATGTTTTTTCTAAGGTTCTAATGATGCACGTGTAAGAGCGTTTAACAGTAATGAAAGAATAATTTACCGAAGGCTTTCCTATAGTTCTTAAGATTCAGTCAGAATTTTCTAGGTTCCTAGAAAGTATGAACACCGGGGTGCCTATTATTCAAATTTTCTGTCAGGGGGGGTATATTTTGCATATCAAAAATATTATTGTTGCTTAAACAATATTTGCGTGAATGTTGTACTACACAGCACAGTACTGTATGTGCAATGGTGAAAGAGAAATTAGCTGTAGTTGCTTTACCAGCATTTGAAGTCGAGCGACGAATGCCTTTTTGACACATTTGACTGGTGATTCAAGATTTTTTTCCGGGAATTTTCATGCATGTACCGTTTGTGCGGTTTGTCACATACAATTTTTCTCTCACACAGGTTGGCGAAACGAGACTCCATATCTTCGATGGATTCACGTACGAGGCAAGCGATGAGACTCAGTCAATCCGAATTCTCTCTTCGCAACAGGTTCCTGTCAAGAATCGGCGCTCAAGTCAGTATAGAATGTTTTTTTCCCCACCTCGAGTATGGTATTGAGCATGGAGTTGGATGTGGCCTTGCTGGGTATTTTCTTCTGGTGGAGTAATTTATTTAGTGGTTTGTATTGTGGCACCCTGGTGAAGGTACTGTAGTTGAGCGAGTATTCTTGAACTGTGGAAATATGATGACTTTTTTTTGTATTCTCTGGGGTAAGTTGCGAAATCTATTTGGGAGCAAATTTTGCATGTATAGAATGGTGTGAATATTTGTCCAAGTTCTGTACAATTGGAGCAAGGATTTTCAGCCTGTGGTACTTATGGCACTTTACAGATTGTGCCTCAAGAGGTGATGGTGTATGCAAATATTCGCATGCTCATGCATTAGCAAATTCACGTGAAGGTTGAAACACCTGAATATTCTCGGATTTCCACATGGCTTATGTGCATGCGAAGTCCAATCGGGTGTTGAACTTCTTCCCTTCTGCGAACCAGTAGAAACGATTGAACCATTATGTCGATGTTTCTGGCTAAGAAACAAATTTTGAAAAATATGAGTTCGTTACTACTTCTACAGCCTTTACATTTTATTTTAACAATTCGCGCATTACTTGATGAAAGTTTGGTGATTTTGTCAGGAGCAGATGCATGGTCAGTCATGAACAAAACAATGAAAACGTTTAATGGCGTGAGAAAGCATGTTGTTGATTTTTGAAGTTGATGGTATGTTGCGCGCGTTTGAATGCCTGATGCATTGGTAAATTGCACGCAAATTCAATTATTGTGTTTGGTGTTATTCTAGTCGCACAAAACATTTTTGCCTCATATCACGTCATATTTTGTGAGTAATGAAAGTTGTCATTTCCAGCTGCCGCCGACCTACGACGTCCAAACAAGAGCATTGGCACACAGAAAGGCGATGCGATGAGGATCTTCCTGCAATTACTGAGGTAGAAGAACCACCGTTGTGTTGAATTCTGGGAGACGATATTTTATTCATTTTTATGCCATATTGTGGAAATGCTTTTTACTCGCTTTGTGAATCCTTGAGGAAAAGGAATGGGAGTTTTAGTTGGGAGCAAATTTTGCGTGGATAGAATAGTGAGAATATTTTTTCAAGTACANGGGGGGGGGGGGGGGGGGGGGGAATAATGACGAGAGATTTCGCAGGTGCCCTCTTTTCAGTGAATTAGTTATATTTCCCAAAAAAATTCAGAACTTTTTCCAGCCTGATCAGTTTTCCTTTCTGAAGTCGCTGCTTAAAATCTGGGTGGGACTGATGCGTGCGTAACTATGGTATCAAGTTTTAGTGCTGTGTTGAATTGTAATTCTGATTCAGAAGTGAATCGTTTTCATTGCGAGTCTGAAATGAAGATTTTTAAGCTTCCTTCCGTCTCCAACTTTTTTTATTTCACTGTGGAATGTTCAAAATTTTATGCTTTCCATGTGGGTTTCTTACAGGTATACATTCTCCCTTGATCGAAAGATGCATTTTGTGGTGTGTGTAGGAATTCAAATGCACATGAGAGAAGCTGCATCAAGAGCAGCATTTCCCCCAGCTGAAATGTTTCAGGCTGCTGGTCATTCAGCTAATGACCAATGTAAAAAGAAGGTACTGTGTTAAAATGTTGCAGCAAATTATTGTATTTTCAGAAAGATATCATTTTCCAGGTCGTTCCAGTGTAATATTACATTGTATGTGATCTTAAAGTGAGGCTAAATATTTCCTAACTTTTCATCATGTAAAAACTGATCGGACTAATGAATTGAGAGCTATACTCACTTCTGTAAACCTAATGTTATGTTGGCGAAATTGCTTTTTATTTGCTCATCTTTTCTTTACAGTCCTCTTCAGAGTTGCTAGAATTCTTGTCACACATTTTAATCTATCATAAGAACTACTTCAGTAATGTTCAAAAATAATGTATTCAAAGATGAAATCATGAATTCAGTTATTTTTTTCAGGAACGTTGGTATCATTATTTTTTTTAAACCCTATAGCCATTCAGCGAACAAAATGGTACTCCGTGAAAACGTTCATGAATGCAAAATGGAGACGAAAGCGGTGCTAACATTTGAATATCTTTTTTTTATTATGTCTTCCCTTCTGAAATGCACTGCATCTCATTGATTCCTCCTTTCTGTAAAGCTCTCTGTATTCCTATTGAAAACTCAGAGAAATATGAAATGAGAAAATTTTCTTCGGTTTAGGTTAAAATTCGGTCACAAAGGCATTCAAAGCTGTAGTTGAAGCGTGCTTGCAGTCGAGACGTTTTCGTGAAATATGGAACAAGTTGGAAATGTGTCGATTGGAAACGAAACGGGTTAGTAAATTTTGTTAAACTAATGATGCCGTAATTTAAGCACAGTTCTCATTTTTCGAAAGTAAGTTCGCTTGTACAAAAGTGGGACGATTATCCTACGTATTTTGAGAATGGCATGAGTAATAATTCTGAGAATATAATATTTAAAGCTCTGTATATGCATCTAGAAGCATTTTAAGTTTTTGAAATGTAGCGATTGTACTGTACTTGATTCTTATGTAAAAAAAATTGTAAAATAAAATTTCGAATCCTATGGAAGAAATCGAGATTTAATTATTCATCATGTTTCCCTCTGGTGAGTTTCACTTCGGTGAAAAAAGTAAAAAAGATCAGTTATCTTTCAATTATTATTTTTTAATTATTGGGCATGCTACTTTGAATATAGGTATGGATCACATAGTGTCATTTAGAAAAACCTTTCCTCAATCAGAACAATTTCAGGAAAAATTGCCAAAATTTGAGATTTTTGATTGAGAAATGGTCAAACCCTGGATGTGATGATTAGTCTGAGAACACTACAATGACCTTGAAATATTTTCCATAGCTCATAGAATATTTGAAAATTCGTAAAATCTGAAAGATTGGAAGGTGCTCAGGTGCATGAACCTTATTTTCTGTGTTATTTATTTGATGAATTTTTATAGCTGAATTAACTCAAGAATTAAAATGAACAATTTAATTGAGCGTGTATGGAGTGTTTCTCTTGTAGTGAATATCAATGAATTTCTTTACATTTTGATAAGGATTTATGCAAACCTAGCTGAACATTTTACTGATAGCGCAAACGATTTTATTTTCTGAACTTGTAATAGTGTGTCATTTTAATTTCCCCATGAATTTATATCTGCTCTAAAACGAGTGTTTCAGGATATGTTGAAGTCACTAAATTACTCCTTGATACGAAATTTTGAGCCCAATGATGACAAAAACATTTTTATTGAAGCACCGCTCCTAATTCGATTGGATGGGAGATTGTTAAAATTGTATGTTTTATATATTACTGAACAGTTGGCAAACCTGCCACTCTGCTGAATGGGAATAACAGCAGGTGGTTTTGGGACCGTTATGCCACTGTCTTGGTGGACTGCGATGGTGAGGGAAAAATTTATTTTGTGTGGATCAAATAACTGTACTGTGTGGGGTTCCATTTTATTTCCAATCACTGACATTAATGTGTGCATGTTGACTGTTCGGATAGGAGTTCTGTGGAACGGCGATGTTCCTGTGCCGGGAGCTGCGGAAGCAATGAATGCGCTTTTCAAATCCGGAAGGAAGATCATTTATGTCACTAATAACACTGCGAGAACACGTTCGCAATACGTTGAACGGTTGCTGTCCATGAATTTTCCTGCGTGTGAGGTGATTGAGTTGAAGTCGTGATTCATCGAAACAACTATTCATCGCCGCATAAAGTACAGCTTATAGTCTTCTTTAAAGCCTAATTATGAGTTGCGATTTCTTCCACCCTTTATGCTCATTGGCTGTTAGTGTACAGTATAGCACTGTTCATATTCGAACGGATTCACGGTGAAATCCGAGAACGTGTGATTTACAATATTTTATATTTTGGGAATGGCCACCCCATATTGGTAAATTGTGGGAGTATATACGTTGAATTGTTTACGATTTTGTTTCCAGGATGACATATTCACCCCTGCGTCGGTAGCAGCGCATTACTTGAAGACTCTTAATTTCGAGTCTTCTGTTTATTGCTTGGGAACAAGCGTCTTCCGAGAAGAATTGGACGCTGTTGGAATCAATTCCACCGGATTTTCTGTGAGTCATGTATTAAACGGCTTACGACTTTCCTCTTGTTCTGTTTTTATGCCCATTATTCAGCAGCATTCCTGTTTCTTTCTTGAAACACAGAGAGACGAGTTTTCGTGCGACAGTGCTGCAGAATGTTTGCGGGAAGTGATTGATTTCGAATTATGCGATGATATCGGCGCCGTTTTAGTTGGTGTCGACCCATTCTTCTCTGTGCCGAAAATGATCAAGGCGGTCTCGTACGCCGCCAGACCTGGTGTGCTACTTCTTGCATCATGTGATGAAGGTCGGGCTCCATTCGATATCCCTGGTAAAATTGTACCGAGTAAGTTCAAGAGATCCTATAGGAACTGTGGAAGAATTACGGTGGATTTTTTGCAATATTACTACTGTGGCAACAAATGAGGGCCGGTGTTTTATTGAGAAAGTCTTCCGAATCCCTTTCGAAGTTTTATTGCCTCAATATGGATGATTATAATTTTTAAGGAATTTGAGAACTGAAACGAATTTCAGTGCAGTAATCGGAAATTAGTAATGAACCATCTGTCATCGTCATCCTGCGCTCGGATGATGACGCAGCGATTGGATCATGAAGAATATGAGGATGATACCATGTCGTTATTTACAGTAATTTTTGAAGAGTTTGAAGCTTTTTTGTCTGAAATTGGATTGTATCCTCTAATTGATTTATGTTACAGTATATCCGATTTTTAGGCTCGGGAGCTTACCTTGCTGCCATAGAAAAAGTCACCGAACGTAAAGCTACTATTCTTGGCAAGCCCTCCGTTGAAATGCTTGATTGCATTCGCAAAAAACACAAAATTCAACCTTGTCGCACTCTCATGATTGGTGATAAGTACGATCTTTCATTCTTAAGTCTTATGTTTTATTAAGGTTAAATTTGTATGTGCATTTTTTTTTGGTATCAGCTGCAGAACAGATGTTCTGTTCGGGAGGAACTGTGGCATCGACACGTTGCTTGTCTTGTCTGGAGTTTCTACCCGAGACGAGTTGAAGGGATACGAAGAAAATAAGGAGAACGATTTCATTCCCGATTTTTATGCGTTTTCTTTGCGCGGAATAACAGAAAAGCAGTGAACATTTCTTGATATTCGTGTCAAATTGATCGGATGACGCACCGTCGCTTACGGGCCGTTTAAAACACCCACCTGAATTGTAAGTCATCGACTTTGATGTCTTCTCGTTGTTCCCTCTAGCGGAAGTTGATGGAAGTGCTTCAAAGCGGGAATTTACCTGTTCAGTTATCTTTTTGAATCAGCGAAATCCTCGCGATGTCATCGACTGCAAAAATCGGGCGCTTGGTTGCCAAGAATGCGGCGTTGTTTCTGTGTGACATGCAAGAAAAATTCCGTGGTCGTATCGCTTATTATCCTGAAATTTTGCAAGTTTCCAAGAGGCTGCTAGATTCGGCGAAACTGTTGGATATTCCGATCGTCGCCACGGAACAGTATCCAAAAGGTTTGCGTGTTGAGTTTATAAATTGAAATTTTAATGGTTTTTTTTACTAATTTTTGATGTATTTCAAGGATTGGGACACACCGTACCTGAATTGAATCTCTCGGCAAGTGGTATCAAACCATTCGAAAAATCCTCGTTTTCGATGTGCATCCCGGCTGTTTTGGAAAAGCTGAAGTCTTCCGGTGCATCTGCTGTGATGGTTTGTGGGATTGAAGCTCACGTTTGCGTCCAACACACGACCTTGGCATTGATCGAACATGGATTTGATGTGCACATCATTGCGGACGCTTGCTCGTCACGAACAATGATTGACCGGTAAGCTTACATCGGTATTTTCTAAATAGTTCGGTACATCACGAAATATACTAAGACTTTGTATTCCTCGACTTTGCATCGGTATTCCTGCTAATGAAAGTGGCGTTGAAAAGTAGATCTGAGATATCGAGCTGCAGTATTTTTTTGCGTGTTGTGTGTAAGTGTAATGTACAGTGCAGTGAACAGTATCCAAGTATTATGGCAGCACGATCATTTTATAATTCGTACATTGCGTAAGAGTTGAATGAACACACGGATAAAGTTTTAGTCGAAACTTTCGATCAATGTAGTGATGTTGGTAACATGAACAATCTGGGAAAAGGTAACTGCTGTAAATTCTGTGCTTCCCGCAGGACTGTTCCCGGCCGATTACAAATTATACAGTTCTATGATGAGGAAAATACTTCATTTGTGGCAAGCACTTCAACTCCATATTTTTAACTTTATTATTACAGAATGTACGCGTTCAAACGAATGAAGCAGTCCGGCGCGTTCATTACGACCAGTGAAAGTGCAATTCTTGGATTGGTGGAAGGTTCGGCACATCCGAAATTTCGAGAAGTGCAGAAGATCATTTGGGAATCGGCCCCTGACACTGGCCTATTGAAGAAGTGATCATTTTGTGATATTGTCGGAAGTTTCGTTTTCGAGAGGTTAGACATCCAGTCGTGCATTTCAATTCGAACTAAACGGTGTTCTGTGAAAATAGTGATTTTGATTTCCTCGGGCTTTGTTTGCTGTGAACCGAGTGGAGTTTATCTTGAATAAATGGATTCCGTGATTAAACAGCCCCTTTGAATTTTCATTTTTCACGTTTTCGTGACAAAGTTTTTCTCTCATGTTTCTTTTTTTTTGACTTCACGTCTTTTGTGATTTGTTTCTGCCATTTTTTTTATAGAAATGTTTGTTGAGAGTGAGGCTTTTTATTGACCCATTTCCTGCGTAAGTGCAGTAAGATTTCAAGAATGAGTGACGAAATTCCGGATTTAAATATCTTGGACGAGGACAATCCAGAATGCGATTCAAAACCACCTGCAACCCGGAAGGAACCGCTTTTGTTGGAATCGGAATGCAGCGAGATTTTAGAAGTTTCTGGGTCACCAGGGCACCGGAAGTTCTATGAACTGGGATTGCAACCCGAATTGTTGCACCCATTGAAGCGACCTTCGCTACCCAACATCTCAATTTCGTCTGAAAATGTGTCGCAATCCCGCGAAGTTTTCTCGTTTATTAGAGAGAACTTGATCGGACGGAATACTATTTTTAAAGGACCTTTCGGAACCAGAAGAGGTTCGTTGAGTCTTTTTAAGTTGGTTATTGCCACTGTTGATGGAATATTTCGTTCGGATTCAGCGTTGTACTGCGATTACGTTGCCTCTGGGCAATCTTTGGAATTTATTGAAGATTACATTCGCAAGGAGGTCTTGCCATGTTACGGAAATACTCACACGACCACAACGGTGACCTCGCTTCAGACCACTTTGTTCAGGTAAAGAATCGAGAAAATTCACGAAAAAGTTGTGCAAATTTTGATGAGAATGCAGTGAAAGACGTTTAAGAAAGCCTGTAAATTTTTTCAATTTTCGTTGAAGTGAGGTTTCTTCATATCTTATGTTCAAATTAATATTCATACACTTCTCTGTTCTACCTCTACTTTATTCACAGTAATTAGTCTGATTTGTTGAACGTCACATCTGCTTGAATAGCTCGTAAATCCTCGTAAAACGATTTGCTCTTAATTTATGAAAATTCCTTGAATGATAGACAGTGTCCGAATTTTGTCGACAGGTGCTCAAGTTAACCGTTCTAGAAGTGAAATAAAAGCTATACCTGAAAAATGAGTGATGAACTTGAAAATCCCATCATTACCAATAATTAATAGGTAATTATTAATTACCAATTAACAGTATTTAATTTGTTTTATTGGCAGCGATGAAAAAAAAGCTTTCAATCTGTGCTGCTACAAATATTCTTGATGGTTCTTGCGGTTAAAATTCTGTAAATTTAAACAAGATAAACATAAACATAGTATAACACGTCTTTCACTGTAAATCTAAACATTCTTTACGTATTTCTCAGGTATGCGAGAATGTTTCGAATCTGTGTCAGAAGAATTGAACTTTTCCTGAGTAAAATTCCGAAATAGTGTAGATTATCTTGTGAAGATTTTTACGAAGTCTGGTTTTAGCATTTAGGATTTTCTATGACTTTTTTTTAAGATGTTTTCTCGTCTTGGCTGTGCTTATGTATGTGTTTTCCCGTGTGCGTGTGTGTGAGAATTGTTTGACTGAAGTTCTATCAACTGAAATTTCTCTAATAGAATTTAAAATTTGTTCACGTTTGCATCATATACAGTATTCAATTCAATCCTTAATTTTTGGTAATTTCAGCTTTGCCGCATTTTTCGCGTTCTAGTCACACAGTACGAGGTACGCTTGAACCTCGAAAATTTGAATCTCCCCGAGTCAAATGCCTCCCTATTTAAAAAAAAGAATATATTTTCAAGTCTTTTTCTGGAATCCCTTTGAAATAATGAAATAAAAAACCCGCTAACTCGATATTTCTTGCTGACCCCTTGCAGTTGGACTTGAAGAGGTTCGTCTCTACCCATTCTCCGTTTTTAAATCCGTTCTAGCGTTATTCGTTTGAAGAATATTCTCCATTTTTGCGTGTATTGTTTATAGTGTTTAAGAACGTTTCCGTATTTTTATTCAGACATGAAGCCAGGGATATTGTCCGCAATGCAGTCGGAGCTGGAGACAAAGATGCTGTGATATTTACTGGCAGTGGCACAACAGGTGCAGTTCACAAGCTAATCAACGCCCTGAAGCCTGTTTTCGATCATTGTCCGCCGTATGTTTTCGTCGGGCCGTACGAGCATCACTCGAATTTATTACCATGGCGTGAATTGGGAGGAAAAGTTAGTGTCAAACGATGATAGGGGGCCCCGACATACGGACAATTCGACTTGAAGAAAATAACATTTTTAGAAATCTTCACTGATATCCGATAAATGAAATGAGATACAGAAGACTTTTTTTTCACAAACTTCAGGAAAAATTGTATTCTTCGATATTTTGGTATTTCGAACAAATGTAAGTGCAGTTAAATATTTGCAAGTCAAACTTCAAGGGACTTGCAAAAGAAATTCGACTCGGGGGAAAGAAGCATTCTCTTTAGAGGAAAGGAAAATAATTGATGGAAATTGTAATTGGTGAAACTCTAGGCCTAAATTGCTTTTTGAATGAGTTGACGGAATCTGGAACTAGTAGGCAAGGGCTCATTTATCCCATTAGTCTTTCATTCTTTTCAAAACACATCAAGTTACATTTTTATTTTTTCTGTGTCAGTATTATAACATAACATCTAAAAGGCCTCCAAAGAATTTAAGTTAAGAAGGGTTTGCTATTTGGTTATGGAGGTTTTTGGGGGAATTCTGATGGTGACTTGACGAAAATGTTACTTTGGGGAGTTATCAAGGTTCAAGTATATTTTTAAAATTCAAAATAGATCTTTATATTAATTTAATCTTATGCCCTGTCCAAAGTACGCTACTTCAGTTGTTTTCCCATAACCTTTTCACAGTATAGCAAAACTTGTGCTTGTTCTTTGGGCTCTTTTTCGTGCCAAAGTGACAGATTTTGGGTGGTTTTCTTCTGCACAGTTATTTTCTGCATCTTGAAATCGAGAAAAGAATGCTTTTTAAAATTATTTTGAGAGAATTTCGCCCATTTTTTTATGAACAGGAAAACCAATCAAACATTTTCTCAGTGAGGTCTTTGGCGAAACGTGATCCAACATGCGGACAAGATCCGAGAACGAATTACGTCCGCATCTCAGGGCCCCCCATGTTTTAATTTTATTTGTCACCAATTTCCTCTTTACTTCATTTACTGGCAGGTGTTCAGAATCAAGGAAACCTCGGACGGTGTTGTTGATCTCAGCGACTTGGAAACCCAATTGCGGGAAAGCGACGCTCCTTCGGGAACTTTGAAAATTGGCTGTTTTGCAATCGCGTCCAATGTCACTGGAATCCTCGTTCCGGATTTGGAAATTTCTTCCATTCTTCGCAAGTACGAGGCCCTGGCTTTTTGGGATTGTGCTGCTGGCGGTACGACACAATTGAAAAAAAAAATTATCAAAGTTCTGAATTAATTTAATTTTTAAATTTATAGCACCATATGTTGCTGTGGATATGAATCCCAAAGGTCCTTGGGGCGTGTGTCCGAAAGATGCCATATTCTTTTCGATGCACAAGTTTGTAGGGGGCCCAGAAACGCCTGGTGAGTTCAATTTGGTTGAATTGCATAGTTTGCTATCTTTTTATTCTTCATGAATAATGGGTCTTCTGCTGATTTACGTATTTTCCACTCGTCCTTGGATTGTCCTGATGTGGACTTATTTTTTAATGTTGAAATTTAGGTATTCTGGTGGCGAAAGAGGATCTGTTCATCAACCAAAAGCCTGACGGTGCAGGAGGTGGAACTGTTTTCTTTGTCACCGAAAAGAATCACAGTTATCTGAAGGTGAGTATGAGAGATATTTTAGTAATCGAAACTGCTGCTGAGTTTACGAGAGTGATTTTTGTGACACGGTTATTATTTGTCAAATGATGCAGAATGTGGAAGATCGTGAGGAAGGAGGAACTCCACCGATAATTCAATCCATTAGAGCAGGTTTGGCGATGAGGGTCAAGGAATGGGCCACGACCCAGGCCATCGGGGAACGTGAGAGGGAATTTTGCAGGTATTTTATTCAAAAAATAAAGAGCTGTCTCTCATTCTGTCATTTATTTGTAGGAAGAAAAAACAAAAGCTGTGTTGAGATACTTCAGTGCTTCGGATATTAGATTCGATTCTTTCTCTCCTCTGGGAAGCTCGTGATTCGGGAATAAGTGCATTGTATTCAAATACAGTAATTTAAATACATCAGTTGATAAGTTGTAAATCCCTCGAAAAGATCGAGAATTAGTTAATGTTAAACCAATTGAAATGATTATTTCATTTGAGATTATT